CTCCCTCTACCCTCCCAGTATCACCACTCACACCACTGGTCCTGTAGGGATCATCCTCCCTGGATTCCCTGTATTTCCAGTTCCTATCTATACCATTGTACATCCTCTGGTCTAGCCAGACTTGCAAGGTAGAGTTCAGATCATGATAGTGGTGGTGGTGGTGGTGGTGGTGAGGGGACGAAACATTTAGGAACTAGAGGAAAGTTGTATTTTTAATCGTTGCTACATCGCACCCTGACTGGCTCATCTCCTCCCCAACACCCCTCTGCCAGGGGATCTCCAGTGGCCCACAAATGGGCTTTGGGTCTCCACTCCGCACTCCCCCTCTCTTTTTCTGACTTCGTAAGATAGGTGCTGAGCTGATCAATTTGAAACTTTCTCTTTTTTGCCTGTGTCTGGCTCTAAAAATGACCTGCTTGAGTGGCGCTCACCATTCAGATCCGTGGTGCCTACATTTTCATCTCATCCGATAGTCTCTGTGGTTCCTCTTTTAATTTCTTACATGGCCCGTGGGTTATTTAAAAGGACATTGCTTTTTAAAAATACATTGTTTAATTTACAAGTATGTAGAAGGGCTTTCAGATTTGTTTCTGTTAGTGATTTTTAAACTTTCATTTCATTTGGTCAGCAATTTAAAAGACTGGTCCATGGTTTGTGGCCTAGACGATGACCTGGCATGGTGAACATTGCAGGCCCACTCGAAGAATGTGTCCGTGTGTTGTTGAAGGTCAGGTCAGGGCGGCATACAGTGTTCTAGTGACTGTATATCAGTGCTAATTTCATGTCTGCCTGCCCTCCCAGGTATTCAGAGGGCCGTGTTGAAGTTGCGACTTTTTCCTTATGATTTCATCAGTGTTCTGCTCTGTATGCTTTAAAGCTCTGACCTGAGGGCTCTATTCTGATATCGGATTAATTATCTAGCTCCTTGCGACTAGTGTTAGCATGCTCTGTCTTTTCTTTTTTTTCTATTTACAGGTTTTTTATTTCTTTTTTTTTTACGCTTTTTTTTCCTTCTTTTTTAATTAAAAGATCATTTTATTGGGGGCTCTTACAACTTATAACAATCCATACCTCAATTGTATCAAGCATATTTGTACATATGTTGCCATCACTTTTTTTTGCCATCATTCTTTTCTTTCTTTCTTTTTTTTCTTTTTTAACATTTTATTAGGGGCTCATACAACTGTTATCCCAATCCAGACACACATCAATTGTGTAAAGCGCATTTGTACATCGTTTCTCAAAACATTTTCTCTCCATTTAACCCCCTGACATTAGGTCCTCATTTTTCCTCTCCCTTCCCGCTCCCCCCTCCTGTCTTTTCTTGCCATTTTGTTTTTAACCTATTTGTGTCTTTATTAAAAAAATTTTTTTTTATTTAAAAAAATTTTTAATGTGTGTCTTTATACTTGTATCTTTATAAAAGGCATTTCTTGTAGACAATACATATTTATGGTTTGCTTTTTTTCATCCCCTCAATCTGACTATGTAAATTTGCCACTTAATTTGGTTGTTTAGATCATTTACATTTAGTGTAATTATTAGTATGGCTACTTTACTTTATAAAATGTATTGTTTTGCTATTTTCTATTTGTTCCATATGTTCTCTGTTTACTCTTTCCTATTTTTCTGCCTTCTTTTTTGAATAACTGAATCGTTTTATCTTCCTCGTTGGTTTATAAGCTATAGCTTTTCTTTTCGTGACTTTGTTGAGTTACGGTCTGTAGGCAAAATCTGTTCATCTGTCTGCTTTTGTATGACTAAGTTATAATTGGTTTTTGTACTTTTAAATGGTAAAAAATAACCACAGTGATATTTTATGATAAGGGAATATTGTCTGAAAATCAAGTTTCTTTTTTTTAAAATCGAACTTGAATGCTCATCAGTTTTCATTGAGCACAGCTGCCCTCCTTTGTTTAGATATTGTCTATAGCTGCTTTTGAACCACAACAGAGTTGCCTAGTTAGAAACAGACCGACCCCTCCTTCTAATGAGCTGTCTCCAGCTGGACTCGAACCTCCAACCGGCCTGTTAGCAGCTACACTCGTCACCAGTGGCACCCCTAGGGACGCCACGTGTTGTTTGTTGCAATTGGATTGAGTCATGGCAACCCCAGAGTCGAACTGCTCCGTAAGGTCTCAGGGGCCCTCTCTCTGAGAAGCTCTCTGCTCCTGGGTCTTGGTACCCTGCCTCACACACTCTCGCACCTTCGTCTCCGGGATGCGGGTTCTCCCGCTTCAGTGACCCGTGGCTCGGAGACGCTCTCAGATAAGACCGTCGGGCGATCAACCCTAGACTCAACGTGCGTGCTTTTCATGTCTCAGGGATCACTACCGTTTCTTGCATCACGAGGATTATGGTGTCATATATTTGTCTCCTTCGTTTGTTTGTTTTGGGGGGGGTAGTTTGGATGAGAGGGAACGCTGGTCCTTGCCACTTCATCTTGGATACAAGCTGACCAACCAAACTGAACTCACTGGCATGGAGTCAGTCCAACTCACAGCAAGTGCATAGGACAGGGTGGAACTGCCCCTGTGGGCTTCCAAGACTGTAAATCTTACCGGCATCTTTCTTCTGTGGAGCAGCTGGTGTTTTTGAACTGCTGACTGTGCATTTAGCAGCCTAACCCGTGACCCATTAAGCCAGGGGTCTTCAAACTATGGCCCGTGGGCCACATGCGGCCGAGGAGGACATTTATCTGGTCTACCGGGGGTCTTTGCCCCGTTTTGTTTTTTACTTCAAAATAAGATATGTGCAGTGTGCATAGGGATTTGTTCATAGTTTTTTTTCTTTAAATCATTTTATTGGGGCTCATACAATTCATCACAATACATACATCAATTGTATACATTTGTTGCCCTCATCATTCTCAAAATTCGCTTTACTCTTGGGTTCTTGGAATTAGCTCATTTTCCTCCCCCCCCCCTTCCTCCCCACTCCCCCCCCACATAGTTTTTTTTTTAAAACTATAGCCCAGCCCTCCAATGGGTCTGAGGGACAGTGAACTGGCCCCCTTTTTAAAAAGTTTGAGGACCCCTGCATTAAGCCACTAGGTTCCTAGGATGCAAGTGGAAGACCTACTTAAATCTACATGGCGCAATAAGTCGGTCTCTGCCCCTCCCAGCCACCTAACAGCAGGTTTTAGAACGCTGTTCACAAGCCTCGTCCCTAATAGCTGCTCCAGGTTTGCTGAATGAAGGGACCCAAGAGTCCTTGACCTCTGCCCTCTGCCCCCATCCTTTATCCTCAGGGCACTGCACTTGGCGGTGATTCATCAGCACGAGCCCTTCCTGGCTTTCCTCCTGAACTTCGCAGCTGATACTGAATTCCTAGACCTACAGAATGACCTGGGCCAGGTGAGCCATCACGGGTTGGTGGAAGGGCTAGGATTGGAGGGTGGGGGTGGGATTCAGTGTGGCCCCCTAACCCTTCCATGCCCTCTGCTCCCGCAGACAGCCCTGCACCTGGCAGCCATCCTGGGAGAGGCATCCACCGTGGAGAAGTTATACGCTGCGGGCGCCGGGCTGCTGGTGGCGGAGCGAGGGGGCCACACGGCGCTGCACCTGGCCTGCCGCGTGGGGGCACACGCCTGTGCAAGCGTGCTGCTACAGCCCCGGCCCCGGTGTCCCCGGGGAGCCCCCAGCATCTACCTCACCCAGGGCCCTGACCACACCCCCGACGCCTACCATGCCCCTGTCGCCCCACCCCCCAATCCCAACTCAGAGAAGGAAGTGGACAGTGAGGACTGGAAGCTGCAGCTAGACGCCGAAAACTATGAGGGTGAGGGTCTGCAGGGGCGGGGAGGGCGCAGGAGCCAGGCTCTGGGGACCCTAGAGCATTGAGCACTGGACCTCTGGGGCCCAGGAAGCCCTCTCCCCTCCCAGCTGGAGGCCACAGACAGGTGGGCACCCAGGCCTGCCATGCACAGGCCCGAGCTGCCAGGATCCAATTATTGGGACCCAGCTAGTCTCAGCCTCAGGCTGCCCACCCCTGGGGCATTCAAAGCCCAAGCTGTCCCCTTGGTTCCAGCATTCCAGGTCCCCAGATATAGACAAGGGATTTAGGGGTTGGCCACCTTGGGGCCCTGGCCTTGTGAGTGTCAGACACCCTCCCCAACCCACCCACCCCTAAGCCCAGCTACCCAGATCCCTCCACAAATGGGCGGAACTCACCTGGGCTCCCGGTGCCTCAGGACCCAGGTCCTTGGTGAAATAAGATCAGAGACTCGGGCCTAGGAGTTGGACCTTAGGCACCCATTTCTCAGTCCACCCAAGGCTAGGCTCCCTGACCCCAAGACCCCAGCCCCCCCTTTGGGCCCTGCCCACAGGACACCAGAGACTCCAGTCTCTGGGACCCAGGCCGCAAGAGTCCACCCCACGGTCCTGGCACTTGGCGCCTGGGCTGCTCATCCCATATTGCTCCGCCCCTAGGCCACACTCCACTTCACGTGGCCGTCATCCACAAAGATGCCGAGATGGTCCGGCTGCTCCGGGTGGCCGGCGCGGACCTCAACAAACCGGTGAGCCTGGTGGGGAGGGGCGGGCCTGGCTCAGGGTGGGCGGGGCCCTGTGACACCCCCCTCCCCCTGCCAGGAGCCCACGTGTGGCCGGAGTCCCTTGCACTTGGCTGTGGAGGCCCAGGCTGCCGACGTGCTAGAGCTTCTCCTGAGGGAGGGTGCCGACCCCGCCGCCCGCATGTATGGCGGCCGCACCCCACTGGGCAGCGCCATGCTCCGGCCCAACCCCATTCTCCCCCGGCTCCTCCGCGCCCACGGAGCCCCTGAGCCCGAGGACGAGGAGAAGCCCGGACCCTGCGCCAGCAGCAGCAGCAGTGACAGCGGAGAAGAGGGCGTGAGTTAGGGGCAGGACTGGGTGACCTGGGGTGGGGGCCCACTGGAGGTGAGGAAGTGGGCGGTGCCTCGAGGCCAGGGTTGTTTGCTGTGCTGAGAATCCCTGGGTAGGGGTCTGGTCTGTTGAAGGTGAAAGCCGTGGGGGATGAGGGACAAGACCTTGGTTCCTACTGGGCGGTAAGCATCGGGGCTTGGGGCAGTCAGGTCAGTGCTTGAGGAGCAAAATTCAGAGCTCAGGCTGGGACACTGAGCAAGTAAGTGTCATTGAGTCAATGGGGACTCATTGCGAACCTAGAGGGTAGGGTAGACCTGTCCCTGTGCAGAGTAGAAAGCTGCCAAACCTCCTCTTTCTCCTCCTGAGTAGCTGGTGGTTTCGAACTGCTGACCTTGCAGTTGGCAGCCAAGTGCATAACCACTGTCACCAGGGCTCCTATTTTGAGCAACAGGGATTTGAAAAGTGTGTGGTGGGCAGCAGAAGCTGTGGGAACACGGGGTTGGGGGGTGGCAGCCAGGCAGCTGTGCTGGGAGAACCCAGGGTTCAGAAGAAAGGACAGGGAAGACCCAGTTCTCAGGGTGAGAGCCGGAAGATCTTGGGCCATCAGTACGGTGGCAGCCACCCTAGTCCCTCTGCCTGACCCCTCTCTGTGCCCAGGAGGAATATGACGACATCGTGGTCCACAGTGGCCGGAGCCAAGACCAGCTACCTCCCACCCCAGCCGCAGAGCCTCTTCCCGATGCCCCCGTCTAAGTAGTTCCGCCGTTAATATGATCGCAAACCTAATAAAATTCCAAGTCTGGCCACCGGAGGCGTCCTTTCCCCGAGCTCTCGTTCATGGCGCAGTCCCGTCCCTCTAAAGCAGTGGTTCTCGACCTTCCTCATGCCGGGACCCTTTCATACAGTTCCTCATGTGGTGACCCCCCCAACCATCACATTATTTTTGTTGCTACTTCATCACTGTCATGTTGCTACTGTTATGAATCGGGCGACCTCTGGTCTCGACCCACAGGTTGAGAACCGCTGTGCTAAAGTCAAGTGCCACACCGTCACCCAGGGGGGTTTTCTTTGTGCTTTATTCACTCAGGGGGGGTGGGGTAGGGGATTTAGAGGGGCTGGGGGAGTCCCTTTTCCTGAGTCAGGTCTGAGTCAGCCCCCTACCCAACTCAGAGATACTTCCTGTTTCAAGGTGCACCTATCTGTCCACTCTTGCCCAGTTGGGGAGTGGAGCCGGGTGCCAAGTGAAGCAGGGGGGTCTTGGGGGACAACAGTCCTATGCCGGAAAGGTGTGTTGGGAGGGAGGGAACGAGGTCGGGGGTCAGCCCTCCCTGCGGAGTTCCTCCCCGAGCAGCTGGGAGGCCTTCTTCAGCTCCTCTCGCACCTGCTTCAGCTGCTCCACCGCATGCTCCTGGTGAGACCCAAAGTGGGGGCGTGGGGGTGTGGGGGTGCGCTCTGTACCCACCTTTACGGCAGGCAGCCTGCCTCAGTGGTTTGTGTATGAATGTGGGCAGGCCATGCTAATTCTTAGAAGGGCAGCCCCACAGTGGTCAGTCTCAACATGGTGGCCATGTTGGCTCCTTGAAAGAGTTCTCTTGGCCAGTGTGAGCCCACCCGAAGGCCTTGCACGCAGACCAGGGGCCCCATGATGAGCAAAGGCGTCCAGCGTGACTTGTGTATGCTGGGATGGATGTTTTGCTTATTCCTACCAACCACGGTGACCCTTGCTCTCTGAACCCGGCCCCAGTGGTGTCCATCTACCACCCAAGCCCACTGTTGGCAGCAGCCAGCCTGCCCACTGGGCTACACATGGCGCCAAGTTGGCCGCCCTGTGATGACCATGCTCATTCCGTCGCTCTGGCCATCTTGGTTCAACGGGACCAGTGACTCTGGACCATGCATAATGGCCCTTTGTTTCACACTCAGCTGCTCAGTCCCACGCCCCCAGGGCTCTGGCGTGATGGCAGCCCGGCCTCTTCCACTCACCTCCCTCTCTGAGGCCTCTCCCCTCTGCTGCTCCTCCTCCAGCTGGGCTTCTGGCTGGGGCTGGCGGTGACGGGGGTGCAGCGACTCCTCCTGCCCCTCTCTCCCACCTCCATTGGCCCCCTGCCACAGGCTACGGCCCCTGCCTCGCACCCGCAGCCCCTTCTCCTCCGCCTCAAACTGGGCTGTCTCCTCGTCGCTGGCCTTCTCTGCCACCCGCTTCTGGGAGCCCCAGCCACCCTCCCGGCGCTGCTTCCACATGTCCCCAAAGGCCTCCAGGGGCCCCCTGCGCCCCTTTCCCTCATCCTCCCGGGCCTGGGGCAGCAGGCTGTGGAGCTGCTCCTGGATGGCTTGCTCCTGGACCTCGGACTCGTGGGTCCTCTCGGCTCCCTCCTCTTCCTCCGCGTCCTTCTCCCTCACCTCCTGGCTTCTGGTCTTCCCAGCCGCCCCAGTCTTGAAATCCTCACCCAGCAGACCTTTCTCCTCAGCGGACACGCAGCCCTGGGGCTCCGCCCCGCACATCTCTGGTGGAAGCAAAGCTCTCTGGGCACCGAATCGGGAGGCTGGGGCCTAGGAGAGGGCTGGGGCTGGGGGACACCTGAAAAGGCCAGCTAGTCCACGTGGAGCTGGGAACAGGAAGGGGAGAGCCTTTCTCCGGGGGTAGGGGGTAGGGGGTGGGTGGGTACGGGGGAAGGGCTCAGAGAGGATCTGGGCTCCCTTACCTTTGTGGAGCGCCATGCAGGGGCCTCTGTGCGACTGGCCCTGGGTCAGCACATCTGTGACCACCTCTGCCACACAGCGGGTCAGCTGGGGGCAGGGTGGATAGTCAGAGAGGAAGGAGGTGGGGCGGAGCAGAGGCGGGTGTGGGGAGGTCAATTGGAGGGTTAGGTGGGAGGGGAGGGGCTCCAGGTGCGCTTGGGCAGGGCCAAGGGGTCCACGCAGTCCTCACCATCTCCTTGGAGGGCCTGGGTGCCAGGGGAGCTGCCACAGCTGCAGAGGAGGGAGGAGCGGGTGGGTGCTGGGCTCGGGCACCCCACGCTGTCCTCGGTGCTGATGCCGGTCCAGGGAGCATCTCATAGGTCACCCCTCTCCCCCCTGGTCCACCGCCCCCGTGCACCCGCCGAGGCCCGGCCGGACTGGGACACTCACCTGCCTCCGCCAGCAGCAGCAGGAGCACGGCGGGCCCGCGGAGCGGCATGCTGGCGTCCGGACTGGAGTCCTCCCTGGACGGCCGGCGCTGTGCGGGTCAGGAGGGCAGCGCCTTATAACCCGCGCAGGTGGGCCCGCGGGGCAGGAAATGACGTCACGGCCGCCCCCTCCCCGCCCGCGGCGGGGCGACAGCTGCGGAGCGGCCGCCTCATCGGAGACCCTCAATTATTCATGGTGGCCGAGGTGCTGCCCCTCCAGGCCTCCGGCACAGGAGCCCCAGCCGGAAGGTGGGGGCTTCTTCCCCCAAAGGCAGGGTCTGGCTTTCCTGTGGTCGCGGCCGCAGACACGAAGGCCTTTCCCTTTCTGAAGCGCACTGTCCTCGTCTGCACAGTGGTCCCACCAACAGGCCACCGCAGAGGCCAGAGTTTTGCCCCGGGTTCCAGCCCTGCCGGTCTCCTTACCTGCGGCCTCGCCCCCGCCCATGACGTCCACTCGGGCCCAAGGGTTTTCCAGTGGTGTTTTTGGGAAGTTGACCGGCAGGCCTTTCTTCCTAACCCAGCTTAGCCTGGGTGCTCCGCCGTCACCTGATCAACCCTCAGGGCCGCACTCTGGCCTCAGCTGGACAGGCAGGGCCTGTGTAGGAGCGGCCCAGGCCAGGGGAGGCAAGAACTCAACCACGGAACCAGCAGTTATTCCCCCACTCCTTTCCTTTTAAATCGTGAAGATAACACCCCTCCTGCAGCTCCGTGACCACCCCCAGGGCCTCCCCACCCGTGGCAGACCCGTTTCTTCACGTCAATGGACAGCGAGCGCCTGCCCGCCTGGGGTCACATTTGTTATAGGAAAGCACGAAGCAGTCCTTTCCACTCAGTAGGTTCCAACTTATAGTGACCCTATAGAGCAGGGTGGGACTGCCCCTGTGGGTTTCCAAGACTACAACCGGCTGGTGGGCTCAACCACCACCACCACCACCACCAGAGCCCCTTCATGCTCAGGGCAGTGCCTGGCGACGGCGATGGTCCCATTCTGCCTGGCTCGTTCATTCCAGCAATTTTAAGTGAGCACCGTGTGCCAGGCCTGCGCCTGTGCTGATGAGCTATGTCCCTCTCGGAGTGGCCTTTGGGGAGGGCCACAGACGGGTTTAGCTCTGCAACAGGGAGGAGAAAACACCCGCGGTGCATCAAAAGGGCAGATTCCTAAGCTGATTGGACTCGGTGGCGGGGAGCTGCACCCCGGCAATGAAACACTTGTACTCCAGCCCATGATCCAGGAGTGTTTTTGTTGCTAGTGCTGTCCAGTTGTTCCGACCCACAGCGCCCGTGCACAACAGGAGCACTGCCCGCCTGTGCCATCCCCGCAATCGTCCCTGTGCCCGAGCCCACGGTCGCAGCCACGGTGTTGGTCCATCTCATTGGCTGAGGGCCTTCCTCTTTTCCACCAGGCCCCACTTTACCAGCATGATGCCCTTCCCCAGGGACTCGTCTTCCTGACGAAGGTCCCAAGTACGTACTTCTGTCTCTAAGGGAGTACGCACCCCAGCTGTCCTCCAGCCAAGCCAGATTCGTGCGTTCTCTGGGCAGGGGGTACATTCGATATGCTTTGCCAGCACCATGATTCAAGTATATCCACTTTAAAAAAAATTTTATTAGAGGCTCATCCATCCATCAGTTGTGTAAAGCATATTTGTACATTCATTGCCCTCATCATTTGCGCTCCACTTAAGCCCTGGCATCAGCTCATTTTCCCCCTCCCTCATGGACCCTTGATAATCTATAAATTATTTTGTCATAGCTTACACTGTCCGATGTCTCCCTTCACCCACTTTCCTGTTGCCTGTCCCCCAGAGAGGTTATTTGTAGATCCTTGTAATCGGTTCCCCCTTTCCAACCCACCCTCCTGGTATCACCACTGGCCCTGAAGGGATCATCTGCCCTGGATTCCCTGCACTTCCAGTTCCTATCTGTACCAGTGTACATTCTCTGGTCTAGCCTGATTTGTAAGGTAGAATTGGGATCAGGATAGTGGGTGCGGAAGGAACTAGAGGAAAGTTGTACGTTTCATCGTTGCTACACTGCATCCTGACTGGCTCGTCTCCTCCCTGTGACCCTTCCGTAAGGGGATATCCAATTGCCTACCGATGGGCTTGGATCTCCACTCTGCACTTCCCCTTATTCACAATGATGATTGTTCTGATCCCTTTGACACCTCATGCTCGCACAAGCTGGTGTGCTTCTTCCACGTGGGCTTTGCTGCTTCTGAGCTAGATGGCCGCTTGTTTACCTTCAAGCCTTTAAGACTCCAGATGCTATTTTTTGATAACCAGGCACCATCAGCTTTCTTCATATTTGCTTATGCACCCATTTGTCTTCAGCGATTGTATGGGGGGGGGCGCAGTGTGTGAGCAAACGATGATATGATTTTTTGTTTTTTGATGCCCGATAACTGATCCCTTCAGCACCTCGTGAGCACGCAGGCTTGTATCCATTCTTCTTTAGTCTATTATCCGAGGTCCAGCTTCACATGCTGGGTCAGGCGCAGCCGTCCTCACAGTGCCACCCTCACTCTCCAAATGTCAGGGTGGGCATGCTTGGCAGCTTAGCCTAATGCAAGCTGTCATTTGCTGTTTCACTGCCGCTTCCATGAGTACTGGTTGTGGACCCAGGCAGAAGGTGTGGGCACCTACTTTTGCAGCCCTCCTGGAGCGTTCCAGGAGGCAGTAGACTCGCTGCCATTGAGTCAACGCTGACGCATACTCATAGCGACCCCCTGTGGCACTCTAAGATTGTAGAAAGCCCATCTTTCTCCCGAGGAGCTGCTGGTGGTTTTGAACTGCTGACCATTTGGACTGCAGCCCAACACGTTAACCACTACACCACCAGAGGCAGTGGAGGATATGACAATTCACGCAGCAAAAAGTAGACTGGACAGGGCAGGGCTGTGGAACAGAGACAGGTGGGCACATCCTGGGGATAAGTGAACGACTGGGTGTGGGCGGGGTGGGAATGGGGGAAGAGGAGGGGAGCAACTGAGAGGATGGTTCTGGCTTTCCCCAGTGGCACTGGTGCCTGACCCACCCTCCATGTCCCCTGGGGACATGTTGCAGCCACTCCCCGTGATGAGGTAGCACCTCTTAATGACTGCCTGCACTGGCCCAAAGACCCATAAGCCTTTGTCCTGACCATTTATTGGGGGGTTTCTGCTTTGCATCTGGGGCCAGCGGCAGGAAAGGGGGAACAGGGACAGAGGGAGGCTGCTCCCCTCTCCCATCCCCAGGTACCCACTGCGGGCTCACTGACTGGCTCTGGGGTCGGGCAGGGAGTCGAGAGGTGGACCCTGGAGTCCAGGCAGGTCCCAGGCATCCGGGGTGCACTGGATCCGGGAGGCAGCTCAGTCCCTCTGATAACCACATGGGTGGTTCCCCAGCTCAGGGCCGGCTGCCCGGCTCGTGGTCTTCCGGGGCTGGTTGGGGCCGATGTACTGGAGCAGCGGGTGGGTGGGAGCCGTGATCCGATCGATACCCAGGTAGGGCTGCAGGGCCGGGGGCACAAGGACTGAGCCGTCCTGGGGGCAGAACAGTTCTCAGAGCAATGCCTTTGGCCTTGCCCCCTACCTGCAGCTCACCTGGGCTGCCCGTCCCTCACCCTCTGCTGATAGTTCTCCAGGATGGCAATGAGGACGCGGGGCACAGCGCAGGCCGTGGCGTTCACCTGCGGGGGAAAAGGCCCCTCAGAACTGGGTGCTGGGCCAGGCTGGCTCCTGGGGGCGGGTGAGGGGGTGCGGCCCTCACCGTGTGGGCAAAGCACAGCTCCCCGGCCTCCTCCTCCTGGAACATGATGTGCAGCCGGCGGCTCTGGAAGTCCGTGCAATTGGATGCACTAGTGACCTAGGGGTGGTGGAGGTCAGAGGTCTGGCTGTGGGGGCTGTCCCGGCCTCTCTCCTGGGCCTGTGTGCAGCCCCGGCCCGGGGCCCAGGAGACAGGGCGCACCTCTCCGTAGCACCCGGGGCCCAGGAGACAGGGCGCACCTCTCCG